AAGGTTACCGGACTTAAATTTATTATATATTAATGGGAAAAGCAAGTTTCGGGTCTACACACAACGTAGCATACCGACACTAATAAATTATTAAGATAAGCTAAAGTACACGAGGGTTAATTACTTAATTTTGAATGTTTATATCATAATAAATCAACTAATAAGAATGAAATAATATATGATCTAGAAATAAAAGAAAGAAAAATTACCACGCAAATTATAAAATTCGATCATAAGATTGCTCGTCCATAAAAGACTCCATTTTTTACACTACATAATGTAATATAAATTAATTCCGTATCGATTTTACTGTTTCACTTCTTGCGAATGAAATACTTAGAAAAACTTCAAAATCATTTTAAATTGAATGAAAAGTTAATTCTAAATTAAAATGTGCGTAGTAGAGTTTCTATAATCAAAATTAAGTGGTAAGTTGCTTAAAAATTGATTAGAATCGAAATGGACAAGTTCATTTAGATATTCTCTCAACTTTACAACTCAATTTTGATTGTCTTTTTTCCAACTTGACAAATCTCGAAAGGTGTATTTAGACACATAAACCCCTAATAATGTCCTAAACATTATTCACTTGAATTTTAAGAGTTATCTACATTATTTTTCACAAAGTTCATATAGTATCTTGTATTCTTTATGTTCATTTTAATATTGAGAGCTCAAAACCAAAAATAAAAAAAATAGAAAATCTTCACAGAAGACTCGTGTACTTGTATTGCATTTTATAAAGACGCCGAAAGTCGTTTTATCTTTGAGGCGTTAGCCGCGAACTGTGGGTAATTTACGAGACTATTTCTTTTTAAGGACATCGTATATTTACGTGCCTCGACTTTATTTTTAAACCGGCAAAATTCGGTAAATTGTATGTCGGTTGAGCATCAAGTGCATAATTTTTCAAGTTATTGGTTTAATTTGACGGAACAAAAAGATAATGTCCATAATTACACACCATAAGTTACAGAGCATAAACTGCAAATTTGCTTTTCTAACTCAATAAAAATAACATTAGAACGGACAAGTAATTCTTTCAACCACCCAAATAAAACCAGGAAAATAAATGAGTAACATGGCCTTGATAAATCATAAATGATAATTAATAATTATGATGAATTGGCTTAACATAGTAACAAACTGGAAGTGAAAAGGATGCTCTAAAGATGCGTACAATCGAGAACCGCATGATACATGTTTTTTTATTTCTGTTTTTTTTGCATCAATGGCATAATTAAATATTCTCCAAAGTCAAGCATTAGTAATGCAAGCAACTCTTTGAAGACGATGAAAGTCAAGTACAAACTGTCAACACGACGCCTTTTTAGTAAATATATTTACATTTTATAATGAATTGTAATACTTTAGAGAACTACCATTTACAATGTTTGTATTATATTTGAAAAGTATAATCTTTTAACCTTAAGAATAGATATGAATGTTTTATGGAAAATGGGGTACCTTGCACTAGCTTATATTGTTAAATCTTTGCAATTAATTAAGGGTAGGCTTGATATCAATAATATCATTTCATTATGAATATGATATCAAAATACAATAATTAAGATGGCTGCAATATCCAAACAGAAGAATGTATGATTGGTTGTCTCCAAATATGCACAAAATGTAACAATAATTTGTAATTATTATTATTATTATTGAAAACTGCGGAAAGTGAAAATATCCATAACAATGGGTTTTTTTAAATATTTACTCATAAAAAATATGTGTGTGTATATACATAATATATGCATGCTAATCTTTGTTAAGGTTATCTAATGGTTAGTCAAACACACTTTCCCAATAAATATACATACTTTCATACTCAAATGTCATACTTTAAAGTATAATACAGACAAAAGTATGATATTTTATACTATAAATATTCACCTTTTTGTAAAAATAATTAAAATAAAAATAATAATTGATTATTGGTTACCCAATCTAACAACATTTATTGGTTAAACAATCCAACTTAGTACATGAGATCAATTATTCATAGAACATAACCAACCAGTCCTTTTTCCTCCTTAAAAACTCTGTCTCTTCCATATAAAGATTTAACTCCATAATTCACATCACTTACACAACCTAATTAAAAAGATCAAAGCTGACCTTAAATTATTGGAGTTAAAAGCTCAAAGACAATAGTTTGATGCAGAGGAAAGGGTAAAAAGTTTGTGGGATGTCAGTATGTCCTTTGGCTAAGTAAAATCCTTTATCACCATTATACTTTTTTTTTTTTTTTCNTCTTTTAGGCCCTTTTTAGTACTGTTCTAAAAGTTTCCGTCTAGTTTTAGTCGTCTAACGGGTTTTCTTTCAGTCGTCTAACGGTTTTTCTTTCAGTCGAGCCGTATTAAGCTCCTTCTCAAACTTGCCACCTGTTGTATAATACTTTTAGCAAACTTCAAGTCCAATGAAAGGAAACAAACTAGCAAAGATTTCAAAAAAGATGTTTGGTGAAGAATTAATCTACTTGCTTACCAAGCACTTAAAGGTTCACTTTGTTTGTCTACTGTTTCTTTCTCTTTTGAGGATTTATTAGTTAGGATGAATAGAGACAATTATTATGATTCAATCAAAAGAATATGTGGGAGCTGTTTGTTTGATGATGATGATCAATGGAGAAAAAGAACAATAAAATCAAAAATTTTAAAATATAACCACTTAACAAAAGACTAATGTTTGTTCACTGCTCACCAGAACACCAAAGGCATAAAAAATGTACACACTAACAAAAGAATATTCATCATTCATTCCAATTTCCAGATATATGATGTCTTAACACACTTCAAAACTTTTTGACATGTTTTTCTGCAAAAAAATATGAATATTCATATATATATATAAAAAAAAAAAAAATCCTCCGATTTACCTCTAATCCTCGCCATTCTCATCGTCCTGTGGGGCCGGAAGATTGAGGTCAATAAAAAAGTGCTGTTTTTTTTTCTCCACGATTTCGCTTACGTTGTTGTAATTATACGTTTCGACATGACCACCGATAAAATGGGACCTCTTATGCCCTCCCAAGGCCTGCCCGTTCTTGAAAACCCTTTCGCAAAACGGACATTTGTGCCCTTTGTTCTTCTTCTTCTTGGATTTGCCTTTTTTCTCGTTCATTTTCTTTCTTTTCACAAGCTCATCAGAATCATCGTCCAAGCTATTCTCGTAAAAGGCGTTATTGGTCCTTTTATGGCAAGGCCGGTGGCCACCGAGTGCCTGATAAGACTTAAACGCCCTTTTGCAGTTGAAGCATTCGTACTTTACTCTCTTCTTTTCGTCGTATTCGCGATTCTCATTAACGTGCTTTTTCTTTCTCGACTCGATTTTTATAAACGGGCCGTTTTTTTCTTGCTCAAATTCCTTACTAATTGCCTCCTCTGCACTGAAATTACTACAATTAGTGAAAAACGCGCTCTTTTTTGCGCACTCGTCTAAAAAGTACCCCGAATCAGAATTCTCACCATCATCCAAAGCACATTTCTTTTTATTCAACTTCAACTCCTCGATTTTCTTGGAAAAGTCCACAGAGCACGATTTTGTCTCCAAAATAACCGAATTATTGTCGCTAGACTCCACAACCGAGCTCATATAAGTCCCGAAATCCCTCGACAACATCATCAAGCACATGGCAACCTCCTCATGATCATTACAGTCGATCTCCGAAAGAGAAGACGAGACATTGCTGTTATTATTATTATTATTATTATAAAGTGAAGTGAAAGGGGAGTTACTACTAAATCCCATTTTCTTGATTTTCTTGCCCTTTGAAGCTTGAAAAGTGTCCGAATGGCTGTCCTCCTCACCCGAGTTCCATGAATGGTCGTTTTTAACGGCTTTTTCCTTTTCCGAATGGCTCGCCATATGGCCACATAATGCCTTTAAGGATCGAAATCCTTTCCCACATTGCTTGCAGATTTTTTCGAGGGGCCATGGAGGATTTTTTTCATCAGAGGCCCTCCAAGTTTTTCTGGGCTTCTCTCTGAGCCCATAACTAGCCTGCCCATTATTACCATATGAAGCTTTTCTAAAGTTGGGATCAAATAACTTTTCCTCAGATTCAGGTGTGGGTGGAGTAACTACATGAGAATCCATTTTTTCTCAAATCCCTAAAGACTCGATTTTTATTTTTTTTTTCAATTTTTAGTGACTGGAGCAAGAAACTAAGAACAACTCACTACTTAGAAACTCAGCCCAACTCAAACATCGCACAAATGCAGCATTTCTAAAGCATAACAGTTCAAGAAACAGAGAGCCCACAAAGAAGCAAGAGGCACAAATCAGAAAATTAGCAACAGATTAACAAAGATAAACTTGTGGGGAGCAACTAATCAAAGCTCGAATCTGGTATTACCTTGGTATCACGCAAGTGATTGAAGGAAAAAAGAAGTCGAAAAAATCAGAGCCCCATCGAAGAACGAATCTCAAATCGCAAAACCCAAATTGAGTTGTGAAAATCTCCTCAGTGCCCACAAAAGCTAAAAAGTAGAAAATGGGAATTTAATAGGAAAGGCGTGGAATGAGGACATTAACGTTTCGAGATTTCGAAGAATTTAATGCGGAAATAGGGAAAAAAAAAAAAAGTTCAAAGCTTTTGAAACAGATGGGTTTTTTTCGCTAATGATGGCGTTTGAATTAGCCACAGCCAATCTCTTGAAGGGCCAAAAGACTCTTTCTTCCTTGTATTTCTCCACAACATATACTCACTCACCAAGGTTTTGCTTCTCTCTATATATTCATATCTTTATTGTTTTTTGTTGTGTGACTGATAAACTATAAAGTAGGCTGAGAATTTCATGCATGGAAGCAAATATATGAGAAATTTAATGATGAGGACACGTGTAGCTCGTAGCAGAGTCGACGCATTGAGCATCGGACGGTCGAGATCTGATATTTCTACTGATAATTATTTATAATTTTTAGATAATTAAATAAATGGACTGGGCAAACTAATTTCCGTTGAATAGTGTACAATTTTAAATGTGACATGTTATTTATTTAATCTATGTTTTACTTTAGTTAGACATTTTATTCTAAAATTATATTATCTTTGCGGCAGATTTTAATACAAGACTAACTACAGTATCTACTTTGTTATTTTGATTGTCGTTATGTTTTGAATACTAACTTCACAGGTGAGAGGAATGCAAGAAAATGAAATTTAGCAAAAGCCCAACTTAAGCATTTCAGTTTCTTTTATTAGGACTTACATAAAATTACTAGACTTCTTCGAGCCTTATTTACAGTACAATTTACTCTACTAATTTGACCAAGACGTGGACTTGATCAAACTTTAATGGATCCCTCCAGCTAAATGAACATTTATTATCATATGAATATAAGATATCTATTTTTCGACCTTTCAACAATGTAAAAATTACAGATCATAAAATTAGGATTCATAAGCTATTAAAATATAGGGGTCGAAAAATATATGGAGTCATTCATGATCCATGAATCAATGTATTGACGTTTGACTAAATTGTATTTGATTTGGGCATGTGTTAATATAACAAGATTTTTTAATAATTGTGAATGACTCCATAAATCGTGTCACACAATGACTTCGTAGCGAAAATTGTATTACATAGTATTCTACTACATGTACATCCAATCTATAACTAAGGTATAAACACTAGGGATAATTAAAACTAGCATAAAGGTCTTCGCAAATTCATTTTGCGTAAGTTTCATTCAGTTTGTACTATTATAATATTTCAATTTCCAACTATGCGTCTTTTCAAGATCGTGTAACAACACAACTTTCTAAAAATCTTACTCAATCTTCTTCATATCTCCCATTCTAATTGTTAATTTTCTTGAAATGTGATACTAATTTCTTGAAATATAAAAGTATCATATACAATCAACTTGAAAGCAATTACACCAAGGTTCAAAATAAGACGTTTTTTAGCTTTATGATTATGGGAAAGTATCATGTATTTGATTTTGCTTTTAGGAAGCTATTTACTTGCCTAGTTAAGCTGGGACGTGGAACTTCCTCTATATGTAAATGCAGTGTTTTTGGAGCTTATATATGTGCTTCATAATTCTATCTATTAATATATTATGTTGGTGTATTTCATGTAGTTCTGGACTTCTATCCATAACAATTAAAAGTTATAAATTATTAAACACTTGATTAACCTAAATTATAAATATATTTTAAAAGTTAACAGTTTTTGTATTTGTTATCAATTGTTTATATGCGGTATATAGAATTAATCATCCTTGACAAACTTCGATTAGACATCAATGTTGCATATAAACTAATAAATTTATATACAAGTTAAAAAGGATATATATGAAGTCACTAGATATGAATGAGAAAAAGTATAGACGGGTACTTGTGTATAAGTGAAAATGTCATTTTAAATATGAATATAATGTAATTTTTATTAAAATGTTTATAAACTTCTTCTATTCGTTTCTTTATAATATACGTATTATTACCGTGTGGGTGTTGAAATTTAATAGTTAAATTGAAGTTTCTTTCGTTTTTTACCATTGCTAATATAGCTACTTATTCTTCAATTTCCTACTCTGCAGTACTTGCTTTTACCCATGATTTTTGACATATAATTATATGGATTCAAATTTAATAATTACAATATTGGTGATGGTCAAAAGAGAAGATGTTTCAACTTGAATGCTCAAAATCAGAACTATCTTTAAGCAACCAGTTTGTTGCAAGATATAGCTTTTAGTAAAGTTGTTTTAGCTTTGCAATCTTGTAGTATCTTTTGTTATCAATTTTAGATCAATACCAATTTCATTTTTCACTCTATTATTGCTACATATTTGGGACTTGGAGGAGGACAATTGTTTACAACTGGAGTAATAATTAACTTTGTCTCTTATAAAAAATTCAAAATCTTGCTCTTTCAAATCCCTTGTGTGTGAAACAACTAATACTGTATTGATAGTTTGATACTATGTACATTTTTGGTTAAGAAACCTAAGAGAACAATAGTAGAAAAATGATAAAGAACCCTTATATGAATGGATTTTAAGTATTGATTTGCTAGTATGAAGGATATGAGTATAGCTTGGTTGCTTTGTGTGAAAGAGAAAAATAATGAAATCTTGGGCACATTTTGCCATAACCAATGATGATATCAATTTGAGTGATTAAAGCCTACTTTAAATCACCCTTTGTGGGCTTATATTCCATGATGTTATAAACATCACAAATTCAAATAAATTAATGAAATTAAGAATTAATTTCTATTACAAAATTGTACGGATGCAAGATGAAGTTTATGCCAAAATAAATTAAGATCTCTCTGCCTTGGAAGGGTACTTCCTCAAGTGTATGAATATACTTTTATTAAGCACTGGTGCTAAATTGTATAACAGCTACTCCCTCCATTTTGAAATATAAGGCATTTAAGGTTGTTGCACAAATATTAAGGAGACATTAATTAATGAATAAATTGACTAATTTAACCTTATTTACTCTAATCACAACCACTTCACACTTCCTTAATTTCAACACAATGAGGGTATATTTGGAAAAAAAATGCAAAAATTTGTCTTGATTTTTGAGCGGGCCTTATATTTCAAAAAAAATGAGAAATCTTTTTACAACTTATATTTCAAAATGGAGGGAGTAGATAACTATATTTTTTTACTGAATATTTATAATATCAAATGTCATACTTACACTTATATTATATTTTAAAATATGATATTTGAACATAAAATTATGTACGCATATTGAAAGAGTATGGTTGCCCAAGATCATTGGATATCAAAATCATAAAAATTCATCCAAATGGGGTTCCATCCCAAAACCAATTGGTGAAATGAGGAGTAGTCCATTAGTCTTATAAGGTAGGTCTATTTTCCATATATGAACGATGTGGGACAACTCACAAGTGATATTCTAACACGCCCCTCACTTGTGAGTCCTTCGAAAGCCCAAGCCCAACTGGGCTGGGTGCCCCAAGCCCTACTACAAACAGGCTCCCATAAACGGGTACGTGGGGGGATAAACAATGGGTACGTCATCACACGGTCCAAGATAGAACCGGCTCTGATAACATGACAGAAACTGGGGGAAAATGGGTGCTGGCCCACTACCATGAAGGACACCATGAAAGAAGAGAAAAAACCCATATGAAGCCCAAATGGGGTTCCATCCCAAAACCAATTGGTGGATGGACGAGTAGCCCATTAGTCTTATAAGGTGAGTCTGTTTTCCATATATGAACGATGTGGGACAAAAACTTGTTCGCCTTTATTTTTAAAGCTCGACCGCAAGTGTATGGCTTCACTCGTAGTATGTGGCAAGCAAGGTCGTATCCCAAGAGACCAAATAATTAATATATCAAGTACCAGATTATGATAGTGTCAACTTTATTTAGACGATCGAATATGAGATGGATTAACTAAACTAAGAAAATATAATTAAAGAGAAATAAAGCAACAAGAAGAAACTAGCTAGAAAAACACGTAAGAAGATGTATGAGAACGATAGATTCTAAGACTTTGGTTTCAATTAATAGTTGAGTTCCTTCAGAAATATCACAACCAATGTTTTCTTTATCTTCCCTATAAGATGATCACAAATTTAGCTTATCGTCCCTCTCAAGATCGATAAAACCGTAGATTAAATCACATATATTAGCGTCTCCACTCAACACATGCAATTCGACTCCAAATAGATTAAAAGATCTAATATCCTCACAACAACCTACTAATATCTCGATTCAAGCAAGTAAATTGTGTCAAATATTAAAGACCTAATATTGAACTCATCTCTCGAATTATGAACAATATTGTCAAACATGTAAAAACATTGATCAAGTGCTAAACATGAAATAAGAACAAAATATTTGAATAGGTTCAAAAGAAGACAATCAATTATAATAAATCATCCAAAATCCCAACATATTAATCTACTACCAAGTCTTAGAATCAAATAAACTAGTCACTCATGTTCGAATTCAAATACATAGACATATTAGAAATCGACATGATCAATAAAAGTTCAAAAGGAAAGAAGAAATAAAAACTAGGAATCTCGTCGATCTTTCAATCTTCTTGATCCCTTTGTAGTTGGATCTTCTTTTGCTTCCCAATTGCTTCCC